GCGGAGGGGAGGGGCGCGAGGCCTGGGTTTCCTCACTTCTCTAAGGCCTCGGAAACCAGTGGGCCGAGCAGGAGCCCGTGGAGGCCGGACCCGCTTACCGCCAGAGCCTTTCTCCTCGCATTGTCGCCCACTTTTCCTTTTCCTTTCACGGATGGCCACCGGGAGTCCCGTCGGCACCTCCTGGGATCCACGTTGGCCACAAAACGATTGGTCCGCGGCCCCTGGGGAGCCCTTCGCGGAGGCCCCCTTCGGAGCCTTACGGTACAATTTCCGGGCCTAGGACTCCCTTGGCCTAGGCTCGGCCGAGAAGCCAGCCAGCATCCACCCTTTTTAGAGAGGTGCCGGCTACCAACGGATCTCTCTCCCTTCCCCTCGGGCCACCGAGAGCCCGCCCCTGTGTGACCTGCCCACCTACCTCCGTACCCCCGAATGTAGTTAATGCCCGCTTTCTTATTGTTTTAAGCGCCCTCCTCGTTTGCTTGTCTAAGATTGTGATGAGTGTTGTGGTCCTGCCCCCTTCCTCCAGTGGAGGTTGCCGTGAACTGTACCTCCATTCATTCTGTCTAGGGGCGATGACCAAGCTTGCACATTAAAATGTGTGACTTCTTTCTCACCCTTCTTTGGTCTTCAGTACTACTTCTTAAATACGTTTTTCGAACTAGATCTAGGAGTATGAAGATTATTTTGAAGTTATGTAATATGGATTGGTATGGCCATGGAAAAGCCATGTTGCTACTGGGCAGAGTGGAGCGGACCAAAAGGAGGGAAGAGATTGGACCTCTCTTGCACCGGACTGCTGTAGTGGGAAGTACTGTGCGTTAGGTAGTTGACAGTAGTGTCTACACAACTTCCACGTTGTCTTGGGTACTTTAATTTTTAAGATTTGTTTCCCCAAACGTTCAGAAGCCTAGGAAGGCGTTCAGTTGGTTATCAGTTGCTCGTGATTTAATTACGTAGATGCTACACTATTACAAGTTTTAACTTTTCTTAAAAGCCTTTGTTGTCCTCATCTGTAAAATAAGGATTATGACAGTATTCACTTCATGGATTATTGAGATTGGAAATTCATTGAATGTATGTAAAATCCTTAGTGCAATACCCAGATAACGTAGTGTTTAGTCCATCTTAACCGGTATTGTTATTTAAGAATTCTCAGTGAAGTACAAGAGCCTAACCCTGATTCTAACATTTCTTCCAGTGTACTGTGAATAGACTATTTTTCTGTGGATAGTCTTATAAAGTAGAAGTTAATCCTTAATGCAAAGTTTCTCATTGGTATATTACTAGAAAGGGGCATTATGACACAGTGAAAACAGCCCTTGGATTGGTAATTGCAGGATATTAGGGACCTTGAGGGGGTCCCCACCCACTCATTGTGTTCCTTTGGACAAGTTAGCTTCTTCATCTGTAAAAGGAGAATATATCTACACAAGGTAATTTGGGAGATTAAGTGAGATAATGTATGTTGAAGGCTTTTGTAAATGAAAGTAAATAAAAACACGAGTTTTTATTAAATAATTCATCTTCTTGGAGTTACCGAATTTCCATTTTTGGTCCCCAGAGTGTAATTAAAATTTTTTTTTTTTGGTAGAGAGCACATAGTTAGGAAGAAAATTATTGTCCCACTGTTGCATATAGGCACCGTATACTAATTATAGTTTGAATACGTTTATTTTGTGTTTGCTATATTTTTATTCCAGTGTTAAGGCTCTTAATATATTTTAAAAATAAGTCCAATAAGTCCATTTTAACGTTGGGTAACTACTTCAGACTTAAAGTCAACATTTTTGTCCCCAGATAAATGAGCTTTATACTTAATTATACATAATTTAAGGGAAACTTACATTAAGTATTTTATAACATTGGAAACAAAAGCAGTCTTTGAATCTTTTAAGGTCTTACAAAAACATTCTGTTTTTAAATTTCTCGATAGTCTTTAGACACTGCTGCTACCATTTATAATAATTTCGATTCCTCACAAAGTTTTTGAATAGCTTTTACCTAGCTTTTTTTTTGAAATTTGAAAATAAGAAAATATGATATTCCCACTAACCAGAATAGTGATAATGCTTTTTATAAACTTTATTTTGACATAATTTCAACCTTTAAAAAAGTTACAAGTATAGTACATAGAATTCTCAAATACCTTTCACCCATATTACCCAAATCACCTGGCCAATTTGCTTTATCCTTTCCCCTTTTTCTCCAGTTTTCTTCTGAAATGTTTACTTGTAAGTTGCATGTGTGTGGTGTTCCTTAATCCCCAAATGTGTATTTCCTAAAAGCAGGGACATTCTCTTATTTAACAACAGTACAATGGTCAAAGTCAGGAAATTAATATTGCTACAGTATTATCTAATCTGCAGGTCTTAATTGGATTTTGCTTGAAATTGTCCTGAATTGGTATTGCTTTTTTAAAAAGCAGCTTTATTAAAGTGTAATTGCATAAAGTTCAGTCATTGTAAACTTACAATTCAATGATTTTTAGTAAATGTACTGAATTGTGTAACCATTACCCCAACGGATTCCTCTTTGCTGTTTATAAGTCACTTCCGTTCCCACTCCACTCCACTCCAGACTATCACTACCTTTATCATTGAAAATGGTAAAATGGCAAAGTGGAAATCTCAGAAAATTATCAGCTCCCTTTTGGGAGACTCAAAACACTTTGATAACGTTATGAAAAGCTTTCTTATAAAAGAAACTTGTGGTTAAGCATTTCCCATTCTTTTTTGGACATGGAACACTTTTTTTCCTAGAAGTAGTTTCTGAAGACTCCAGCAGGTCTGTGGAAATTCATTTTGAGAAATGATGTTTTGAGGGGCTTGCTTTGCTTAGGCTGGGGAGGTTATGTCAGTCCATTGTATCTTGCCAGGTTATAAGCAGAGCAGGAAACAGTGCATGCTACACTAATCTTTTATAGTCAGTGTAGAACCACTACTTGGTGTATAACTATATAACTTAAATTTGCTCTTTCAGAACTAATAAAAATAATACTTAGAAAAGAACTGGGCACATATAAATTTATTGAGTGAATGTAGTTGTATAGGATTACTTGCTGAGGAGAGTTTATTGGTTCATTTGCCTTTTACGATTTCAGAAATATGTCAGTGTCTTGATGGGGTTAGCCTGTAAGTCTATCCCATGTAAAATATTTTGTTTCTATCAGGATAAATCTGCAATGGAGGAATGCATATAAGCAGTAATGGTATTCTCAGGAGTGCAGGGAAAAAAGACTGGTTTGAAAGAGTAAAGTGGAAAAGAAAAGCAGAAGTGCATGCATATGTTGAGTGGTAGAGATAAATCTTATTTAGAAGTTTAGTTTTTGGGGGTGGGGGTAATATCAAATTTATTGAGATAAAATTTACATGTAATAAAATGCACCCATTTTAATTTCAGTGAATTTTGACAAGTGCATAACCCTGTATGTTTTTGTTAATTTTTTACTTATCTGGTTAAAATGCTTTGACTCTTCTAAAAGTGAAGAACTCCTATTCAAGTATTTTTAAAATGCTATTTAAATTTTTTTCAGTGCTGGGACATGGACAACAGGGGGATGAGAACATGAGTGCGAGGGGTTAATGGGGGGGGGGATAAGGACACATTTGTAATAACTAATAAAGAATTTAAAAAAAATAAATTTTTTTCAGTGCTAATAAAAATAACCTCTCCATCTCTCCTTTTCTTAAATCCCACACACATTCCCCTTAGCAGTTGGCTAGCTTCATAATATATCTAGAATCTAGCAACTTGTTACCACTTTCACTATACCACTTGTTCCAGGCCCCCCTCTCTTCTCTGGATTATTGAAGTCGTGTTTTGCTTCGACCCTTGTTCTCCAGTCTTAACATAGTGACCAGGAACACTGTTAAAATAAGCCAAATAAGAAATCCTTTAAATTTAAATGTTTTTCTTCTTATTTAGAGGAAAAACCAAATTCTTTACAGTGGCCTACAAAGCCCTGTACTCTCTGAAGCTCCTCCCCCAGTAATATTTTACATTTATCTGACTTTCCTCGCACACTGTACTCCAGCTGTTGGCCTTGCTATTCCTCCTGCAAGTATTCCATGCCCACCGCTGGCTTTTTGTATTTTCTTTGTTTGGAAGATTATTGCCCCAGATTAAAAAATATATATATTTTTAATCCTCACCTGAGAATATATTTATTGACTTTAGAGAGTAACATTGATTGGTTGCCTCCTGTATGTGCCCTGACCACCGGGAATCAAACTGAAACCTTTTTGGTGTTCCGGGAGATGCTCCAAACAACTGAGCCCCCACAGCTGGGGCTATTGTCCCTAAATATTAAATAGGGCTTCCTACTTCAGCCCATTCAAGTCTTTGTCCAAATGTCATCTTCTGACCACTCACTGTATTTAAAATGAAGCACGCCCAGGATATAGCTCAGCGGTTAAGCATCGACCCAGGAACCTAGAGGTCACCTGTTCGATTCCCAGTCAAGGCATATGCCCGGGTTGCAGGCTTGATCCCCAGTGTAGGGTGTGCAGGAGGCAGCTGATCAGTGATTCTCTCATCGATGTTTCTCTCTCTCCCTCTCCCTTCCTCTCTGAAATCAATAAAAATAAAATAAAGCACTCCCTAACTCTCTTTCCAACTTCATTCTACAAAGTATCAACTTTGAATATATAATTTATTATAAGTGTATTATAATTGATCAATTATAGGTAAAATCTGATCAGCTTTGCTTATGGTTTTAAAAGTTTTTTCTCAATTATTTTCACATATCAAAATATATAAAAATTTATGTTGAAATAAGTGGTTGAGACTCCCATTTTAGGATGTTTGAAAGTGAATAATATTTATCTAGAGTCACCAGAAATGTTTGTGTTCTGAATGTCATTGAAGGGCCATTGTCTTATTAAGATTGCCTCTACCTTTGAAGTTCAACCTATGAATAAGCTAAGTTTTGAACAGTGTGAAGTAAAAGGGAAATATTTCATAGAAAAATTAGAAGTGCATGGAATGGGTATATTGGCATATACTAAATTAAACATGTAGTCTGATGAAATTTTTTTAATTATTTTTTTGTTGTTGTTCTCACCTGAGGATATTTGTTCCATTTATAATTATTGTAAGGCTAGCATAGTACCTGGCAGATGGGAGCTTCTTAATAGATTTGTTTAATGAAAACCTTAGAGTTAATTTGTTTACTCATTCATTCATTTATTCAACAGGTATTAATACCAACTGTCCTCCTAAGAAAAGTGCTGAGATAGAGTATTATAATACAAGAGCTTCTGTAAGTAGGACAGTAGCTGTCTCTGTTTTAAAAGGAGATACACTTTTTCTTATAGAGTATTTGTTTTTATTTTTGGGCAGAAATATAAAGGATTATTTAAAAATATAAGACATTTATAGTAAAATTAGTTGGCATTTCCCCTTTTTAATTTATACTGATACCTACTACTATTTATTTATTAAAACATATTTTTATTGATTTCAGAGAGGAAGGAAGAAGGAAAAAGAGAGAAACATCAATGATGGGAGAGAATCATTGATTGGCTGCTTCCTGCACACCCCTTACTGGGGGTTGAACCCATAACCCAGGACCCTTCAGTTCATAGGCTGACGCTCTATCCACTGAGCAAATCAGCTAGGGCTATTTTTAAATTTTTTCTATTTTTAAATTAATTGATTCTTAGAGGAATGGGGAGGGGAGAGAGAAACATTGATTTGTTGTTTCACTTATTGATGCATTCATTGGTTGCTTCTTGTATATGCCCTGACTGGGGATTGAACCCACAACCTTGGCATATCGGGACAATGCTTTAACCAACTGAGCCACAAAGACAGGCGGTTCTCTGTATTTGAATGAATACTGTGTGACCTGATGTTAAGATGTCTCCTACCCCCAGGTTTATAGTTCAGTGAGACAGTCATTTGTACTTGAGGAACTGGCCAACACTGAATCAATAAATACTGTGTAACTTTGTAAATTAGTTTTCAGAAAGGTGCTGATATGTATTAAAAATGAATGTATCAGAACACTTTTAAAAAATAACTGTTAGAAACCTTCCTGGATTCTGAGTTTGGTTTAAAAAGATTCATTGATATTTCGTATTTAATTTTGGATATTAACTGAACCTCAAAATTTTTTTCTTCCTTTATATGTATTCCCATATGATTGTAGGAGTCTATCCTGAACTTAGATCGTGTACATTTTGGGAACTTATTTTAGAAAAGATCTAAATTTTAAAAATTCTCAATGGACAGACAGAGAAAAGAGGGTCTTTGCCAACTCCTTTGGGTAAGAAAACTTTAGAATTTTGCAGATACTCTAAAAATGAAGGCCAACAAACCAGGCATATTGAATTGTAAAATTTTCAAGTAAAATGATTTGTCATGATTTCTTTTTTAGACATCTGCAGTAAGAATGTCTTTCCCCCCTCATTTGAATCGCCCTCCCATGGGAATCCCAGCACTCCCACCAGGGATTCCACCACCACAGTTTCCTGGCTTTCCTCCACCTGTACCTCCAGGTAATTTTGTGAGTACTGTAGTTGTTTTAGCCTATACTTTTGTAGTATTTACTTTTAGGAAGATGTGTGACTGTTAGTAGTAAAGATGTCTGTTAATATCATTCTGGAAATGTGATGTCTCATTTTCCTATAGCAGAAGTTTTCACATCTGACTGAGTATAAACTCATTTGGGACATTTTAAAAAAAAGTTACGTAAAAAAATAGCTCATGAGGTTCAAAAATGAAAAACTAGTGCTCGCTTCGGCAGCACATATACTAAAATTGGAACGATACAGAGAAGATTAGCATGGCACCTGCGCAAGGATGACACGCAAATTTGTGAAGTGTTCCATATTTTAAAAAAATAGAAAAAATACACAGTGAAAAAATTTTATTACAGTCCCACAGAATTATTTTTAGTTTTTTCTTTGTCCTTCCAGATATTTTCTAATGCATATTATAAGCCACGTAAGTATATTATTTTATTCACCAGTGGGTTTTTTTAATTGATTTTTTTTTTTATAGAGAGAGGGAGGGAGAAACATTGATTTGTTGTTCCATTTATTTATGCATTCATTGGTTGATTCATGTATGTGCCCTACCCAGGAATGGAACATGCAACCTTGGCGTTTTAGGACGATGCTCTAACCAACCAACAGAGATATCTGGCCAGGGCTCCGTTAGTACTTTTTCTTTTAACACAGATACAGAGTATTATTCTGTATACTAGAGGCCCGGTGCACCAAAGTCGTGCACGGGTAGGGTCCCTAGGCCTGGCCAGCGATCAGGGCTGATCACGTTCCCTGCCTCTGCCTTCCCTTGCCACCCTCACACTGCCACCGCACGATTCCCCCCGCTGCCTCCTTCCCTTGCTCTCTCAGCGCCCTGCTGCCGCCGCTGGTCGCCTGCCATGTTCTGCGCCGCCCCTTGGTGGTCAACGCATGTCATAGTGAGCGAGAGAACTCTCGAGGGGACACTTTGCATATTAGCCTTCTATATATACTAGAGGCATGGCCTGCGGGATCAGGCCAAAACTAGCTCTCCAACATCCCTTGAGGGGTCCTGGATTGTGAGAGGGCATAGACCAGGCCGAGGGACCCCACTGGTGCATGATTGGCGTCAGGGAGGGACAAGGTAGGTTGGCCAGTTTGGGATGGACCGCAGGAAGGCTCCAGGGTGTGTCCGGCCCTTCTCGCTCAGTCCCAATCATCCAGACCCCAGCAGCAAGCTAACCTACTGGTCAGAGCACCTGCCCCCTGCTGGTCAGTGCACATCATAGCGAGCAGTTGAACAGCCTTAGCATATCATTAGCATATTATGCTTTGATTTTTTTGAATGGATGACCGGACACTTAGCATATTAGGCTTTTATTATATAGGATAGATACTATTTTGCCCCTCCATTACTTTTAGTTGATGTTTAGAGAGAGTGGAAGAGAGAGAGAAACACCAATTGGTTGCCTCCCCTATGTATCTGCCCTGACTGGGAATTGAAACTCCAACCTTTGGGTATAAGGGACAATGCTCCAACCAACAGAGCCACCCAGCCAGGGCCAATTTTTTTTTTTTAAATATATTTGTATTGATTTCAGACAAGAAGGGAGAGGGAGAAAAGTAGAAACATCAATGATGAGAGAGACTCATTGATTGGCTGCCTCCTGCACGCCCCACACTGGGGATCAAGCCTGCAACCTGGGCATGTGGAATCAAACTGTGACCTCCTGGTTCATAGGTCAATGCTCAAGCACTGTGTCACGCTGGCCAGGCCACTTTTTGTTTTTATTAAAGAACCAGGTATAACAAGATTCTTCCTAGGTTTTCAGATAATTTATCGTTTGATACTTAAAGGAAAAAAAAATGTGAAAGGATTTGTTTTTTACTTTTTTCTTGTTAATCCTCCCTTGAGGATATTTTTCCCATTGATTTTTTTTTTTTTTTTAAGAGAGAGCAGGAGGGAGGTGAATAGACAGAAACATCGATGTGAAAGAGACACATCAATTGGTTGCCTCCCACACCTTCCCTGACCAAGGGCAAGGCATGGAGCCTGAAACCAGGGTACTTACCCTTGACTGGAATTGAACCCGTGACCCTTCAGTCCAAGGGCTGATGCTCTAACTGCTGAGCAAAACTGGCTAGGGCTGTTTTTTACTTTTAAAGGATTAATTAATATTGTTAATACATAAATGAATCTGTATTTGTGATAGTGCAGGTTTTGCGGGTGTACTGAATAAGATGAATATGAATCAATAACTATCCAGAATTTTATACTCCTTAAGTCAAAAGCAGGTTCTGGTAGCCTTGTTACTTTAAGAGTAGTTTTTTGTTGTAGGTAAACTTATATAGATTGACCTGATACCACATTGCTTTTGAAACTAAGATGTTCAGTATCTCATTAGTTCTACATTTCTACTTAAATTATAAGTATCTGTAAGAACAAAAGCTTAATATGCTAATTAGACCAGACAGCCGAACGACCTTCCAGACGTCATTCCAGATGTCCTTCCGGATGAAGCAGCTGTGGTGGGGGCCGAGGCAGAGGCAGTTAGGGGTGATCAGGCAGGTAGGCAGAGTGGTTAGGGGCGATAAGGCAGGCAGGCAGAGTGGTTAGGAGTGAACGGATTGCAAGAGGGTGCAGGCCAGGCTGAAGGACCTCCCTTTCCCCGTGCACAGATTTCGTGCACTGGGCCTCTAGTACTTGTATATATGGCATGTAGTTGATACCGAATACAGTCATATATAATTGTATGCTTACAACTTGCAATGCTTTTTCCTTAGGAACCCCAATGATTCCTGTACCAATGAGCATTATGGCTCCTGCTCCAACTGTAAGTATAATTGTTAAGTAAGTAAATTTTTTACTTATTGATTGATTTTAGAGAGAGAGACATTGATTTGTTTCCCACTTATTTATGCATTCATTGGTTGATTCTTGTATGTGCCCTGACTGGGTATCAAACCCTGCAACAACGTATTGGGACAACGCTTTAACCAGCTGAATTACCCATCTACGGCTGTAAGTATAATCAGTTTTAAGGAGGAAATTAGGAGATATGTTAGTGCTTTTAAAACTAAAAAGCTTGATAAACTTAGATAAATTATTTTAAGCATTTAAAAGAATAGTAGGAAGGATGTGGGCATCCATTTCTATCATACTACTTACTTGATTAAGTAACATTTTCATTCAGCTGTGCATATGTGCATTTGTTCCTAAAACTGCTCCCCAGATAGTTTTATGGTTTCTCTCATTCTCTAGACTGATTTACATATTAGTTCAGATTTAGGACATTGTCTTTTTCATTATTCCTTGTGTTTTGGTTTCCAGAGATAGGAGAATGATATGATATATATGATCTCTTAAAAGAGTGTAAGAATTATCCTAGCAGAAATAAAAGTTTTGAAATGAAATTTTTGTTGAATATAGTTCTATTCTTTTCCTCCTACCTACCTAATATTTAGCTCTTTCCGAGCTATTTTTGTGTGTGTCTTCTACTATGATACCTTCAAGCTTTGTAGTTTTAATGAAACCTTTCCTCTAGGGAAGTGTTTCATTATTTATTCTTAGGTCTTGAACCTTAATTCTCCACATTCATCAAAGCATCTTAATTAAGAATGTTAATATATTATAACACGAATAAATAATAACCCTCTTAACTATTATTTAACCAGATATTTCTCTGAGTTCATTGGTAGAATATCAGGCTTCATTTGGAATTCCACTATGAGAGAGGCTAGCTGTTACTTTCAACTGTTTTTCTATTTGTGGTTTTGAAAAGGGAGGGGAGTGGTGTTATTCACGTTAAAAGGGAGATATGAAGTAGGTGGACAAATAGGAATCTGCTGTGAGGCAGACCACTAAGAAGATAGGTTCTGCATACTAGGGGGGAGTCCAGCTTTTCTTGCATTAGGCACCAATGTTTGGTCATTTTGGAAAGCTTCCACATGATAGGTACTCTTACTTTCTTACATTTCAGCCTAAGAAAAGATAGCATTTGGAGTTTGGAGCAGCTCCCCCAGTTCACCAGTATTTATTCAGTGCTTATTGTGGGTGTTTTGCTAAATTCACTTGCAGATAAAATGAAGAGTAAGACTATTTCTTCCTTTGGGAACTTTAAAGTTAATAAAGGGACAATAAGCTAGAAATTCAAGTAAGTGATAAAGGGTAAATTTAAAGTGTGGGGGAGTGCTATGGGAGTATTTGAATATTTTATAAGAAGCTTAGTAGGGATAATTGAACTTTTATGCTAAACAGAGTACAGTTGTGAAGAAACTTGTGGATAAACATAAAGTTTCTATCCAAGTTATTTTTGCTTTTCCAAGTTTTTAAAGAAAGGTAATCTAAAAGTGGGACTTTCCTTGTCATGAATGTTTGTATTAATGAAAAATGCTAAGAGCTTTAGATTAAGTATGTAGACCTTTTAATGTGCTACATAGAGGATGGTGCAAAAGTAGGTTTACAGTTGTAAGTGCATGAAACAGTTTATTCTTGCTTTATTATTTATTAATTGTATTTTCCATACGAACAACTGTAAACCTACTTTTGCCCCACCCTATATTTACTAATTTAACATTGGTGATTTTAGCCTAATGTTACATTAAACATGATAGGAAGTTTAATTGCCAGATCAAATTTTATTGCCTTTTTTAATTCTAGGTCTTAGTACCCACTGTGTCTATGGTTGGAAAGCATTTGGGAGCAAGAAAGGATCATCCAGGCTTAAAGGCAAAGGAAAATGATGAAAATTGTGGTCCTACTACTACTGTTTTTGTTGGCAACATTTCTGAGAAAGCCTCAGACATGCTCATAAGACAGCTCCTTGCTGTAAGTTAAACTGTTTATTTTTCATTTAAAAGGTTTATTTTTGTTATAAATTTTAAACAAAAAGCAGAAAGAAGACTGAATTTGTCTTTGTTTTATTTTGAAAATTTTTAATCCAGCAATACTGTTGAACAAACAGTACAGTGATTACCCTGTAACATATTGCCACATTTACTCTCTTTATATACACACGCTACATACTTTTTTTGAGTAATTTGAGAGTAAGTTGTGATAAGACATTTCACCTCTGAATACTTCTTGTGTTTCCTAAGACCAAAGACATTCTCCTATATGATCACAAGATCATTATTGCACTTAAGAAATTTAAGGACGATACAGTATTGTTAACTAATATACATAGATCTTTTTCTTTTTTAAATAAATTTTATTTATAAGTTATTTATATTTATTTATTTATTTGTTAATCCTCATCTGAGGATATTTTTTCAATTAATTTTTAGGGAGAGTGGAAGAGAGAGGGAAAGACAGAGAAACACCGATGTGAGAGAAACACATCGAACCATTGGTTGCCTCCTGCAACCAAGGTATGTGCCTTTAAGTGGAATCGAACCCGGGACCCTAGCCAAACTGGCTAGGGCTAGTTCTTTTTTATTTATTTTTTTAGCCAGTTTAAAACATTTTTTTAAAAATTTTGTTTTATTGCTTAAAATATTACAAAGAATGGTACATATGTCTCTTTTTTCCCCCCCCTTGACCTTCCCTCTGCCTCCCCTACCCCCCAGTGTCTTATGTTCAGTGGCTATGCTTATATGCATGCTCTATTTTTAAAATTTAATTTTCTCTATAATTTCCAAAATAGCATGTTTTTGTTTTTGACCTATGATCCAGTCAAGGATTGCACATCACATTTAATTGTCACACCTTGTTAGACAGCTTCTTTAATAAATTTTATTTATAAGTTATAGTTCCCTTCTCCCCACCTTTTTTTTTTTTTTGGTTTGCTTGTTTTCTTTGTCTTATGACATTGACTATATATATAGATTTCAGAGAGGGAGGGAGAGATAGAAACATCAGTGATGAGAGAGAATTACTGATTGGCTGCCTCTTGCAGGCCCTCTGCTGGGGATTGAGCCCGCAACCCGGGCACATGCTCTTGACTGGAATCGAACCTGGGACCCTTCAGTCCGCAGGCTGACACGCTATCCACTGAGCCAAACCAGCTAGGGCTCATTGATGTGTTTGAAGAGTGTATTATTATTATTATTGTTTAAAGTATTACAAATAGTAGTACATATGTCTCTCCCCCGCCCCCCACAGCCCATAATTCAGGGAAAAAAAAAAGAAAGTAGCATTGAATTATTAAGTATT